GGGTGGTCACCCCAAATATTGATTGGATTTGGATTTATTTTCTGTTCATTTACTTTCCATTTTGTTAATTGATAAAAATAAACTATAAACACTTTTATTTCCGAAACATTCTCACTTTACAGCATTTTCTCACACCTGCCTAAAACTTTTGCACAATACTGTATATATTATATCTGTAAAAAATAAGTCAAGGCAACTGGACTTGCTGGATTTTTTTTCCTTGAAAACGTTACCTTGACTTATTTTTTAACAGATATACCATGACCTGGATGAATGAGAACCTTCACAGATATATGTATACATTATACATACACACAAAGACGCACCTACACATGTTCGTGTGAAAATACAGAAGCAGATCACAATAAATGACAAACGACAATGGCTGACCTCCTCTCTATGTTCGTTCTCACAACACAATCTCTATCAGCCGGTAAAAAAAAGCTGCTTCAGGAAGACACAGCCGCGTAGGGGACGTTTGGTCGCCCTTCTCCATACAGCCTGTGACGTCCGTAGAATATTATCATACTGCAGTAAGAGACGCCCGGAACAAGGAGAAAAATGGGTTTTATTCACATTTAAATCCATTCATGACAGTAAAGGAATGATATAAAAAAACAGATTTATTTTAATCACAATCAGCCCCTCCCCCCCATTCCCCAGTTTCATGATCGGTCATGGAGAGGAAATTGAATTACGTTGGGCGATTCCGGGTTTGTATAGGCGCCGCGCCTGCCGAAGGAGCGGTGATACACTGGCGCACAGATTTAACGTCCTGGAGCCGCTCATCATTCGCCATCACTTATGTCATGAGGCTCCAGTAAAATTAATTTCCAATTGTGAATGTTCTACTACAGATCCACCCAGAGCGTCTGTTCAGATATCTTCTATTAAAAGAGGACGGGAGTCTATTGTATTGGAAGGATAAAAGGGGCTCCGCGTTCTATTCCAAAGTCACCTTTTCAAACAGAAATGATCAATGCTCATATTATTCTTTAAGGTAAAATGTATCTGAATCCAAGAATACCTTTGTGATATATTACAGATCACCAGTCTTTAGATGTGGTGGCTGCATTACTTTTCTTTTTTTTCAGTCTTTTTCCCTTTATTGTCACCAGGGTGATTCTGCCAGTAACACATCTCCTGCCCTAGGGTGACAACGCTCCCTCACTGTACTGCATCTAAGGAAGAGCAGCGTTGTCACACTAAGATGGGCTACAGTACACCTCCTCTCCTCAGCATAGGGCTGGGGTAGGCAAACTCTGGTATCGGTGCATCCCAAATTTAAAAGGTACCCTAGACAAAAATGAGCATTTAATCTTGCAGTGTGGACTACAAGGGTGGTTTTGAATCCTTCCTGGAGTTCTACTTTAAAAGGAGAACTATGGGGTCAGGGCTTTTCCCCATAGGTCTCCTTAGGGTAACGAGAGGACACAAACTAGCGTCCTCCCGTCACCCTAAGCTCGGTATACCGCGAGCTACTGCTCATTATATACTGAGACTGCCGCAGCTGAAGCAGATCCCGACAATTATGTCTGGATCCACCCAGCTGCGTGAGTGACAGCTGGCTCTGCCTATCTAGAGGCAGAGGCAGCTGTACCCGCCCCCTCCCTCGTCCGTTCCGCCAGTCAGCGCTGGTGGATCAGAGCGGGGAGAAGGGGAATCCAGCCCCTCCCCTGTCACGGCAGAGAGCCGTGACAGGATCGAGAGGTGAGCGAACGCCGGTATGTGTTCGCTCACTTCCCGATCTACTGAGCCGACCTGTGACAGTCTCATTGTCACAGGTGGGCTAGAACTATGAGGTGAGTGAAAAGCACCCCCTCATAGTTCTCCTTTAACTCTTTCCCACTCTAAAACGAGAAAAAAAAACCATTTTGGAAGTATGATTTAAACACGTTTCAAACCAAACACCCGTCCATGTAATATGACGCTATTAGAGCTGCAGATATGTATTGTGACAATCTCCCCTTCTATGGCTCTTCTCTACTTATAAAAGCCAGTGTCACCGCTCCCCCTCTTCACTGTAAGTTTCTAATGCCTTGACAGTCCCCTCAGCAGAATTTTTAATGCTACTCTTTAAAACATAATTTGAATCAAAGTATTACCTGATTATAGTAATTATATTTTTTTTCAATCAGTATAACTATAATTGAAACTTAACTACGTTCTTACTTTGTAAGCGAACATCACCGCTCCACCATCTGAAGACTCTTCTAAAGAACTTGATGTTCACATTTGCATACACGCGTTGACTTATCTTATGCTCACAGGCCAACGCTCACTGGAATGACTTTAAGGACAGTTAGTTATTTTTAAAGTTTTGATTTCTGGGACAAGTCTTTATAAGTGTTCCCAAGTACCACGCTGACTGGTGGAAATGGGGGCCTAGCTCTTAGAGCTGTACAAGTAGACTCAATATGAATCCGAGGTCTTCGCCGTCACGTTTCTAAATGAAAAGTCATTTCTTAAAGGAGAACTATGAGGTGAGTGATTTTCACTCATCCTCATAGTTCGAGCCGACCTGGGACAATGAGACTGTCACAGGTCGGCTCAGTAGATCGGGAAGTGAGTGAACACATACCGGCGTTCGCTCACTTCCCGATCCTGTCCCTGCAGAGAGCCGTGACCGTCAGTCACCGGTCCCTGCAGGGATCCCCCCCCTCCAGCGCTGACTGGAGGAACGAACGGGGGAGGGACGGGTACAGCTGGCTCTGTCTCTAGATTGACAGCTGGCTCTGCCTATCACGCAGCTGGGTGGATCCAGACAGTAATGTCGGGATCCTTCCCGGCTGCAGCGGTCTCAGTATACCGCGAGCTGTAGCTCCTGGTATACTGAGTTTGGGTCACGGGAGGATGCTAGTTTATGTCCTCCCGTGACCCTGAGGAGAACTATGGGGAAAAACACTTACCCCATAGTTCTCCTTTAAAACTCATAGAAATCAATTGGGTTTCTCATACAATATAACAGAGAAGAAGAAAAAAAAAGATACGGACTACAATTTGGTAATTATGGGCAAAACAAATCCTAAACATAGCCCATAAAAATAAGAGCTTGTGATCATTTCTGCACGGTTCTTTTTATGTCGCTTTGGTCCAAATTGCAGCATTATCTGGTCGATCTCAAAAGACTAAGGGAAAGCACAACAGAAATGAAAAATAGTAATCATTCCATTTGACATATGTAAGATATTCAACGTTCTTTCGCATTGTCACATCATGGATTGATCTACCATTTCAGTTTCCATTGTTGGTCTGCTCGTGAAAACCAATGTTGGTCCAATCAAGAGAGACACCAACAAGATTGGGAACAGGAGCTTGCTGCGAAATCTATACTTTAAAATTGTGATGCGTGTACATTACCTGGTCAAAAGGTCAGACTACTATATGGCCAAAAGTATGTGGATGCCTCTCCAAATTTAGAGCTCAGGTGTTCCCAGTAAAGGGTACTGTTAATGCTACTGCGATGCAGGCATACTAGACAAATGTGGGCTTCCAACCTTGTGGTAGCAGTTTGGGGGAAGGTCTTTTTCTGTTCTAGCATGACTGTGCACAAAGGCACCTAAAACACGATCTGACGAGTTTAGTGTGGAGAGACTTCAATGTCCTGCAGAGCCCGGACTTCAACCCTACTGGAAGCCAGGTCTTCTCATCCAATAACGGTACCTGAGCTCACCTGGCTCTTTTGGCCAGATTGGTAAAAATTCCCACAGGCACACTCTAAAAGCTTGTGGAAGGTTGTTATAGCTGGAGGGATGTGATTAGATATAAATGTCTATGGTTTTGAAACAAGACATCCAACAAGCTCATAGAGGTGTGATGGTGGCAGGTGTCCACGCATATTTGGTCATACACCATATGTCTTACAATATGCCCTCACCAGATCACATCAGTTTGGGCAAATGTCTGTCTACCAACCCTTTGCCAGATCAAAGATATTAAATCTGGGCTGGATTTCTTTATAACTCAAACCCATATTGTCCATTTCTCATTGGCCAGATAATAGCCATCAACAAGCTGATGACTAGGGAAGCCCCCAACCCTCAGGGACATAAGTAAGAACTCAGGACATGTGTAACCTTTTTTTAAGATCACCAGATTGCTCCATTTATAGAACCACAGCTATTAGTGCCCATACAATCTTTTAGGGTCAGGATCTATGTCACACGATATGAAGGTGACATGTGACAAAGTGGGTCTTGGTGCCAGGAGAATGGCTTTCCTTCCAAAATAAGGTAAGAACATAGTTTTAGGGGGTTAGGTTACATTTTCCTGGTCATCATAGTGTTCCTTTTGCTTGAATACTTTGAGACTCACTGATTCAGGGTAAGTAAATTGAAGCCCGTGGGTCAGCATTTTCAAAACCAATGGCAACCCTACATATTTCTTACAAAAGGTTTACCCAAACATCAGGGATTCGAGTTACGTAATGGCTGATTTTAGGGGTTACACTAAGTATTGAAATTAGCACTGGAGCGGTGGTAAGCAGCAAAGCAAGCTGTTTTTTTTTTTTTTTTTTTTATTTTAAGAGGAGCTGGGCTACCTGGTTTTTAATTTTCTGATATTTCTGAAGCTGTCCTCCTAATATTAGGCTAACAATTAGGGGGGATTTAAGAAACACTAATTTTTTAACTTCAGCATGCAAAGCCCTGCGTGTCAGAGCCGAGGCAGCAACGACAAAGGGCCTAGCTCGAAACATGCTTACACCAATAGCCGTCGTCCAGGATTTGGGGTAATCCTCTCAACTGCAAGAGAAGCTCCTGGAAGATGCGTCATCTTCTATCTGGTTTGGAAATGCAGAATTACATTCGCATAGAATTCATATCACCCCAGGGCCGGACAAATCCTTAAAGCCAAGTGGGCAATATTTCTAAAAATACATTTTGTCATCTTCCCTGATATTGGATGTGGATTTTGACTTGTCCATACTCCAAGTCAGTTCTATGAGTTTGCATAGCTGCCCAATTCTATTTTTGTTAAATGATGTCAGATCAGAGTCCGTATTATAAGCCAGTATAGGAAGAGGTCCGTGATGTTGGCCCACAAGCAGACTTGAGCCTAATGCTACGTCCAGGTGGGGTCCACGATGCCGTGCTCTGGGTTGCAAGTGAAGGAGATGGTTATGGCGTATCTCGTACCCCAACTCACTTTCTCCACACGGTGTACATTTTCTGATCCGGACGTGAAGAAAGACAGGCGGCCTGGAAGAAACGGTAGGTGTCATTAGTACAGAGGGAACAGTTACAGACAAATATGTTATTTCCTATTTTCTATTTCATACCCAGCAGACCTAATTAAAGGAAGACTAGCATGGATGCCCAGTGACTTTTTGGGGATCAGAGTCTGAACTAACGATTGGCTATCACCTACAAACAGCAAAGGCAGATTATACATATTGGTGAAAATACAATATAGGCTTTGCACCACTTTTCTAGTGGTATGAGCCATAAACAGGTCCAGCGCAACATTAAAAAAAAAGCCCTGTCGCCATTTTCCAGAAAACCATACAGAAATCCTATTGCCCTGAATTCTCTTTATTTATCTGCTGACTGCTGTGCCATGCTGGAGTATTCCCACCTCTGCCCCCTTGAGCTTCATTTGAGCTTTAGTCAACAGAAGTCATCTTCTGCTACATTCTAGTCCCCCCATGCTGATGCAGTTCCAGCTCCTGAACTCTAGACACACACACCTTTCCCCATTACCTAGCCCAATACTTCCGATATCAGGAAGCCGGGCGGCACGTCATTACACACTACCCGGGTTCCTGATTGGCTAGGAAGCCAGCTCCATGCTCTCTCGTCACTTGTGAAGAGCAAGGCAGTCATTACACAGCGCCTGGCTTCCTGATTGGCCAGAAAGCCGGCTCCATGCTTTCTCGTCACCAACTGACGAGAAGCATGGGGACGGCTTCCCTGCTAATCGGGAAGCCGGGTGGCCAGTCATTACACGCGGCCCGGCTTCCCGGCTAATCAGGAAGCCAGGTGGCGAGTCATTACACTCCGATACTCGGTATTTGTTATCAGCAAATACCAAAAAAAAAATATCTGTACTCATACTCGATACTGAAATACTGGTATCGGTGCATCCCTAATTAAATGTAAACTAGATTTTACATGCAAGCAGTAAAAGGATCAGCCTCTTGTAGCCCCGGTACAGCAGAGCATAGAGGGAGAAGCAGCAAAAGGAGCCAATCAGTTGTGTTGCAGTGCAAGAAGCAGGCTAAAAGGTGGAGAGAGCAGAGTGACAGAGAGGTGAGCTCATCAGCCCGCTGCTTCCCCTTTCACTGTCCAGTCGCAGGCTGGGGGAGGGACAAGACCGACAAGTGCTGCTGAACTGCAGAAAAGAAAAATCAGGTGTCCTGTGCGTCCAGACAAGGCTTTGTTGTGTGGCAGAACTGTGTAAATTTCAAAACTGGATAGGCAGGGATACATACATATATATATATCTGTGTATTCAGCTGTCTGCCTGGAGTTCAGCTTACGGAGTGTAGTTGAGTTGTAAGCAGGTTACAGCAGTTTACTATTGTGTTGTCGCTGCTTCCCATCTACTCTGATCAAACGTGTTCAATGGACCCCTCCCCCACACAGCATTTACGGGGAGAAGAACAAGTGAGAGCCTTCAGAGACTGCGATCGGAACATGACGCAGGGTGAAAATAATTAATCCAATTTGCGGGTACTTCAAGAAATTCTAGCTGTGCAGCCGACAAAGCTCTGGAACCATCTGGAATTAACCCCTGTGAGACTGGAGGCAACCAGCTGAGCCTCCCGTGAGGCTTCAGGTATTTTATCTTCCGCTAATAAACCATAGGGATTAATTGCAGGGCGCTATACAGCGGAGAATATAAAAGAAAATCATTGCAAGGTGGAGTCTGTTCCGACACAATGTTTGGTCATTACAAATTATGCAACAATGTGATGGTTCTCTGAACATTGCGGTTCCGCAGGCTTCTACGGGCTATGTAAAGGGATAAAAATAATTACGCATTCAAAGTCACTTTCATATTAATAGTTTACAGTCACGCAATTCTGCATCCTTTCCGTTCTCCTTCAAATGTTTGCTATCCCCTGCTGAACAATCACAGCCAGATGTAATGGGAATCTGTGATCATGTTTTAATATGATCCGCTAAAAGTAAACAGCTACTGAGGGAACACACAGGCTTCAATTGCCAACCTCGTCTTTACAGATGACCTGCACTGTGAAAGCTGTACTCAAAATTGTCAAACGGAGGGCAAAGGGCTAGTCACCAGTGTTGCCTGTAGGATTAGTGCAGCTGATCTTTTCTCCATTACGGACTTACCGTGCCTTGCTCTTCACCGTCTCTCGGTATGGAGGTAGCCATCTTGGTAGAGGCTTTGTCATGTCAGAGCTGCCTCCTGATAACTGGTGATCGGATGACTGGTGGGGTAATGACTAGGGCTGCAACAACTAATCGACATAATCGATTATTGAAAAAGTTGTCAACTTTTTCAATAATCGATTAATCGGCTTCTGATCAGTTGGCCCTGTTCACAGCTCCACACGCTGTGCACCGCACCTCCTCCCCACCTCACACTCGCCGCTGCCAGACCCGCTCGCATCCACGCTCCACACGTCGCACCTCCTCCCCGCCTCACATTTCCTGCCCCTCCACATCCACGATCGGCACAGGGACGCGGGGAGATGTAGTAAAGAGGAGCAGGTGTGGGGGTATGGCAGCTGCTGATAGACAGGTCCGATCTCAGAAGCACGTTGCTGGAAGACTGCTCAGGTATGCCTGCACTTTCCCACACATGGTGCTCTATAATATATTGCTGGGATTTGTATTTCTCTATAGCTGATGGTACATTGTGCTGTATATTATACAGAGGAATACAAATTCCAGCAATACATTATACACTGTATGTATAATGTATTGCTGGGATTTGTTGTACTCCTCTATAGCTGGTGATATTCTGCATTGCGCTGTATAGAGGACTACAAGTCCCAGCAATAGTACATTATACAGCGCAATGCAGAATACCACCAGCTGTAGAAGAGTACAACAAATCCCAGCAATAATACATTATAAAGTGGTACAATGCTAAATACCACCAGCTATAGAGGACTACAAAACCCAGCAATAGTACATTATACAGCGCAATGCAGAATGCCGCCAGCTATTATGTACTATTGCTGGGATTTGTTGTATTCCTCTATAGCTGGCGGTATTCTGCATTGTGCTGTATAATGTGCTTTTGCTGGGTTTTGTAGTCCTCTATAGCCGTTGCCATTCTGCATGCATTGCTGTATAATTTTACACTTTCCATTTCACTATATTGCACACCACACTATCTTTTTTTCTTTTTTACTTCCACCGGTCCAAGCTTGCTCCTGTGATGGACTACAACCTCAATACAAACTAGTAGTCCCATCACTGGAGCCATTTTTTAAACTTTATTTTATAGTTTATCCGATTAATCGAACTTAATAATCGGCTAACTAATCGATTTTGAAAATAATCGTTAGCTGCAGCTCTAGTAATGATAGAGCTAGCGGAAGCACAAATCCACAGAATACATGAAGCAGGGTGTCAGGAACTGGATCTGAACCCAGGGCCTCTGCTGTAGCTGGCAGTGGTTCTACCTGCTGAGCCACCTTAGAACCTTGGATAGCCCCTTGCCTGATCTCCTGTGTAATCCTCAGGTAAACCTAGTTTCTGCTGAACTCCTTGCTCCTCCTTTGAACTTCCTATTTAAGCCACGCCTCTGCACTTCCTGTTTGCCAGATTATTGCGCTCCTGCCAAGATCTTGCTTCCTGATCCCTCTGTGCTACAATCTGCTCATACTGCTACCCGTGTACCAACCTTTGGCTGCGGATTCACCGACTACTCTCATCGTCTTCTGCTTCATACCTGATACCTTTGGCTAATGACCTGGGCTTCGCTGACTACGCTTCTGTCTGCTTCTATACTACTACCGTCTGCTTGTGTACCAAACGCGGTCTGTTATACCACGAATCTGCCTGCTGTTTCAGCTACTGGACTCTGAGCCTGATCGTGGACTCTGAGCCAGATCGTGACACAGGGAGATCCTTGCCGTGCAGGTCATCAGGTACAGCTTCCTCTCCAACAAGGAGGGGGACATGATTTTAATGTACAAAATGTTTAGTGGTGATGGCAACATCAGCAATAAACTGTTTACAGTAAACTCCATAACAAAGACTAGAGGCCACCACCTAAAACTGGTGGAGAAAAGATTTAACCACAAGGGGCGTAGGGCTTTTTTTCAGTTAGAGCGGTTAAAGTCTGGAACTCTCTGCCACAAGCAGTGGTATCAACAGAGTATTGAACCATTCAACAAGCTTTTAGATACCTTCCTCAGAGACCGTAACATACAAGGGTACAGGTATTCTTAAAAACAAGGTCACAGGGACTTGAGTACACAATCACACACAGACACACAAAGATGGACCTGTGTCTTTATTCAGCCTCAAATACTATGCAATTATGTAAGGAGAACAGTGGGCAGCACAGTAGTGACATCACACATCACATCTAATTACAAATCTGATGAGACGAGCAGTCGGAGGCAGCATTAGATCTCACACTGCAGATAATATACAGTCATGAGGCCACAGGACAGGAAGGGCGCTGCTATTTTTAGGTACAATTAACATTCGTAGATGTTCCCTATAAAGATAGCAAATCAATTTTTGTGTTCAGGTCCACTTTAAAATTGACAGAGATTTCTGAGCGCCTCACTGAAAACGTGTTGGAAATGTAATATCCACCATTTTGTTGATTAAGAAAAGGAATTCAGCACCACCACTTGTAAACATATGAGCCAAAGTGGGAGATTGTGAACAAGCACAAGTCATTCTGGGCGAGTTGTCCGTCCGTCTTCGACACTGCTTACGGTTCCCCTGCGTCTCAGCAGAGATAAAAGTCTTCTAGGGCAGGAGACGCTTATTATGCACCATCACAAGTCTGCATCAGAATGTGGAGTCATGACAGAGGGAAGTTCCAGCGCATTAGCAGCAATGTTCTTATTGCAGGAGCAGATGTAATGGGTGAATATTGTTCACTATTTCTCTGATGACTGGCAGAGCGTGAACGGAAAGTACAATGGGGAATAGAAGAGTACAAACATGAAATGATGTACTTTCAGCCACTGCACACTTTGACTTCATATTGCAAGGTTTACCAGATATTTAATGTTTAGCGTGAATTATGTGAGGCA